ATTTCTATAATTATGTGAACCATTTTCTTTAATAGAAATCTCTCTCACTATTTTTTCTTTTCTAGAGAATCCAGTCAAAGACAAATGCTTAACAAAGAAAGAAACAAACAAACAAAAAACCCATTCAGGATTTTCAAAATCTTTTTTGCGTACTATATGCGTAAACTTTGTTGTGTTTTCCATCTTGAGGGTCTGGCTTTATTTTCTCTGCTGTGGAGTAAATCCTCCAAATAAACCCACTACACAAACTTCAATAGATGATATTACATCATAAAGGTTTAGGGTGCACAGATGAACAGCCATTGGCAATTAGTTACCCACATCCCGTAGCCTTTGCTAGTGGTTATAACTACTTGGTGATTTTAAGATGTTGAAAGAAAGGCAAACGTTGAAACTCTCATGTGGTTCCTTCATAACGAAAAGAACAATAACAAGTGTGTATAAGAAAATAGTCGGTATATTTAGGTTAAAATATTAGTAATATTTCAAATCAAATGGCCTCTGCTCCGACCTTTTCCTGCCAGATCCACATTAAGCACCCCTCATGACACCCTCGTGATTCAAATTCTGCCTTCTTTGAGTTCTATGATGCTATGCAGTATTGCCTTCTGACATTCTGGACTGTTCCTTTTGCTGCCTTAACTGTCTCCTCCTGCACACTCTGGCCTGTACTATGCTCTCAAGGGCTGAATTCTTCAACCATTTCGTTCTGGCTCTTAAACATGTCATGACTTCATTCCCTTCTAAACTTCTGTCTCCCAAAAGTGATTGAGCAGTCGTAGTTCTTGCTTTCAACTCAAGACTGATCATTTCCTAAAGAACCAGTTTCCTTGCTCCTGGTCAGATGGATCAATAACTCAGGAGTGATTTTGATTGATGGCTCTATTCAAAAAGAACTGTTGAATATCTACCGTGTTAAATGTCTATTGTGTTAAATCTCTATGTCCTTTAAGTTGTCTGTTCCCGAGCAGGGCTTTTCCAGTTTGCCTACGCTAGTTGTTCCATGTTTGCATTAGCTCCTTTATGCCATTATCTCCTGCCTAGTGAAACCCAGTTTATCCATTAAGACACATTTGAAAGTTACAAGCTCTGTTAAGTTACATCTAATCTTCCCAGGGTTAATCATAGCTTTGTGGTTCCACAGCACTCAGTCCTTGTTTCTCTCATAACTCTTCCACATGGTGTGACTTGGTTTTCCTGTGGGCTTGTTGAGGGTCTGGGGGTAGCAGGGAGTCCTAGTCATCTTTGTGTGCCTTGAATAGTGCTTGGCACAGAGAAACTACTCACAAAATAGCTATCAAAGGATTTAGAACTTGCCTCTAGCTAATAATTTGTTGGTTGCCATGGACCCGGTCCATGATTCAGAGTGACCCTAAGCACAAAAGAATGAAACGCTGCCTGCCCTGTCTCACACCCACAATCAGTTGTGGCTCCGATGTAATCCACAGGGTTTCCACTGGTTTATCTTTGCCAGTAGATTGCCAGGCCTTCCCCGTTCATTGTAGTCGGAAGTTCTACTGCAGTGGTTCTCAGCCTTCCTAATGCCGCAACCCTCTAATACAGGTCCTCGTGCTGTGGTGACCCCCAACCATAAAATGATTTTTGTTGCTACTTCATAACTGTAACTTTGCTACTGTTATGAACAGTAATGTAAATATCTGATATGCAGAATGTATTTTCATTGTTACAAATTGAACATAATTAAAGCATAGTGATTCATCACAAAACAACATGTAATTATATATTGTGAACTATTTATTTCTAATTACAAATCAATGAAATTTTGTCTTGAAGCATGGTGTTGCATGGGCAACAGTCTTCACATGAGGAACTCATATGTGGGTGTATGCGCATGTGGGCAGACCCACCTGGAGATGGATAGAGGAGTGGTGTCTCGGTTCCTAAAACCACCAGAAATATGTGTTTTATGATGGTCTTAGGCGAAAAGGGCCATTTGACCCCCAAAGGGGTCACGACGCACAGGTTGAGAACCGCTGCTCTACTGAAATGGATTCAGCATCATAGTAAAACACAGGTGTCCACTGACCACTGAGAGGTAGCTGCACATGAGGTGCACCAACTGAGAATCTCACAGAATCAAGAATTCTGTCTGGAACCACCCCAAACCCATGGTTGTCAAATAGATTCTAACTCATAGTGATTTTCCCCCCCAACAGTTTTATTGACATAGAATTCACATCATATAATTCAATAGTTCAGAGTGATTTCATAGAACAGAGTAGAACTACCCAAGGCTGTGGAATCAAAATTATATTATTTATATTTCATAGCTTGCACATGAATATGTATTTCATTCTTACCAGAACTGGGAAAATGCTAAACAAAATGCACTCAACTGTTTTCGTTTCACTTCTGGATCCACACACTTCTGCCAGCACTCTTTCCTTTTAGCTTGTTGCTAAGGATGCACTGGAAGGAGACGACACCACTGTTGTCACGGCCTTCCCTTCCTTTCTCGAGCACGGCTTTCTGCGCAAATGGTTGGCTGCCTTGAGGAAGTAGCACGAGTACCAGAGGATCTGCCAGGATTCCCTGGTCAGTTGTGTTTCTTAGGATGCTATTATCGTCTTCTTGCAAGGTAGGCTCTGTTTCAGAAAGGACGTTTGGCCTCTTAGAGTTTCTCTCTTCCTTCCCCCAGCTTACTGAGTGGTATGAAATGTGCTTACTTTGTATGGGCTCTAAGTCTACCTCAGCCACCTGGGGTAGTGAGCTGCCCACTGAACTGCTCACCACGTCTGTTTGAACTCCATGGGAGAACATGAAACCGTCCACTCCTGTGAAGCTTGAAAGTCTTGGAAACCCGAAGGGGCAGCTTTACTCTGTCTTATGGCATCCTTATGAGGCAGAATCAACTATGTAGTTGGCAGTGAGTTTTGGAGTTTTAAACCTAGTTAAACTCCTACACATTAAAGGTCCTACAGAATTCTATGTTCATGGGGTATCTTGAATATGTAAATAGATTGGCATTAGCTGCTGGATATCCATATTGTGCCCTTTTGCCCATGCTGCATGTCTCTTTATTATAAAACTCACATTCAGAGATACATTTTTAAAGCAAAATTCCAAAATGGAAACAACCGATCATTAAAGCAGGCATGGAATTCTTCCGGTTGCAGGGCCCTCTGTAGTGTAGTGGTTACTTGTTGGGCTGCTAACTGCAAGGTCAACAGTTTGAAACCACCAATCGCCCTGCGAAAGATGAGACTTTCTACTCCTGAGAAGATTACAGTCTCTGAAACCCACGGGGCAGTTGTAGCCTGCCCTGTAGTTGGAATGGACTCGATGGTAGTGAGTTTGGAGTCGGCTCCGTGCAATGGTCTACTTGACACACCGATGAAGTCAGTTGTGATTTAAGCGTTCCAGTCAATCCACAATCTTGTCTTGCCAACAGGTTCTATTGGCAACCTCTTTTTAAAAAATTAGTAATATTACTTTTTTGCCAACCTCTTCACTTTAGTCATTTGGTAGGTGTCTTGGACTGGATTCCCTAGATCAAAACAGTAAAATATATACTTAATTGTATATAGAGAAATTTATTTCAGCAAAATACCAAGTCTGTGAGTCAGGCAGCAGGGTGGAGGCTTCTCCCAGTTCATGTGGTTGCAGGGGTTGATGAGCGCCCCCAATCTTCAGATCAGAAGATTTGATAAATTCCAGGAGAGGGTGAGGAGAGGGAGGGAAGGAGAGAGAGAGTGGGAGGTGTTCCAGGGAGTTTGAACACAAGTGAGTTTTGCTTCATCATGGATGCAGTTCACACATCCCAGAAAACTCCTCTCCCAACTGCCAACTGATGGGCCACTCACATCAGGTGATAACATTACAAAATAGGAGATGATGATATCTGGCTTGCCAAATCACTGAGAGTCACAGCCTAGACAAGTTGGCACATAACATTAACCATCACAGCATGCATATGGAGACATTGCATTGCGGCATTTATGAACATTTCTGTTTACTAATGAGAGCAAGAACCTTTTCATATTTTATTAGCTGTCTGGATAGTCCCTTTTGTGATGTGCATGTTTTAGTCTTTTACTCAATTTTTTCTATTGGCTGTCTTCTTTTTCTACTTAATTTTTAACAGTTGTTTTTATATTTTGGAAACAAGCTCTTTATAAATTATGTACTTAGTAAATATATTTTCACCCCCCTCTAGTAGATTTTGATTAAAAACTAAACCAAATTCAGTCATTGAGTCTATGCAGACTCATAGTGACCCTATAGAACATGGCAGAACTGTCCGTGTGAGCTTCCAAGACTGCAACTCCTAATGGGAATAGAATATAGTGTCAACCTTCCTGATGTGGCTCAAGATTATTTTATATCTGGCTTCAGAATTCTGTGGCCTCCCCTCAAATCATGAAGACAGTCTCCTCTACCAGCTTAAAGTTCTAAGTTTTACTTTTCAATTTATGCCCACAATCCATCTGGAATTTATTTATTTTTGATTGGTGAGAGTCATGTTTTCAGTCAATAAAAAGGTGATTGTTATGGAAAATAATAGAATTACAGTGTATCCCCAGTGTGATATCGAAGGAGTGGGCATCAGAGGAATGAATGGTACATCATTACAATCACTTTCAGTAACTCTGCACGTGAGACTTTTTAAACTCTCATAAAGGAAAATCTGGGAAACATTTCACCTCAGATGATGCTGGTAATATCATTTGTTTCCAGCAATCTCCTTCCTTCCCCCAAAACGCAAACACTGCAGCCGAGCTGACTCCCATGGGGTCCAATTGCCCTGTGGCGTTTCCGCGACTTCGTTTGCTGCCAAGAACTCAATGGCGGGTTTGAACCGCTGACCTTCCGCTCCCCAACCCAACGTCGGACCCCCTAGGCCCCAGGCCCTTTCCTGGGTCTCAGAGCCAGGAACTTGCCAGGCCGGACCATCGATGAGCTCGGGGCTCGCTCCTCGGCTAGTTGGGGCTGGATGAGTTCATCCCGGAAGTAGGCCGCGGTCCGTTGTGAGACCAGACGTTCCTTCCGCACGCCGGCGGCCGGCTGTCGCGTCGCCGCCATGGCCACCCCGGACCCTCGCTACCCGTCCTCTTCGATCGAGGATGACTTCAACTACGGCAGCTGCGTGGCCTCTGCCAGCGTGCACATCCGAATGGGTACGGCGTCCCCGCCCCTGTCCCCTCTCCCGGGGCCGAGGGCGCTCCCTGCCGCGGGCCCGGGTGCTGCCCTTCGCTCGCGCGCGCGCCCCGCAGCCGTTTCCGCCGTAGTCTCTTACTGTCTCCGACGCCCAGAGGGGCGTGGGAACATCCTCTCGCACACGAACCAAACCAACCCCCTGAGGGTTTCCACGACCGTGACTCTCGGGGAGAAGAACGTGTCGGACTGCAGCCCCCCGCGGGTCCCACTGCGCCCCCACAGTGCCCAAAGATGAGAAGAGACGTACCGTTTCGTTCTCTTTTTTGACGGAAATAGGCTTCTTTATGATCTTTGAGATGTGCAACGGAAGGAGGCATCTGTTGGAATGTTTCGGCGTTTCTAGCAGGGCGGGGCGTGAACGCGTCCTACATTGCTATTTCTGTTTCTTTTTCTCCGCCGCGAGACGGTAAAGACAGCTTTCCCGTCGTTCTCTCACTGTTTCCCCTCTTCAGGGACTAGAACTCAGCGTATGTGTCACTGTTACCTAGACAAGTTGCTGAAAACAGAAGCTTCCAAAGTCCGTCAAATTCCGTGGTTTTGCCCTGGGTGGTATTCGTTTTATGATGCGATGTGTCGCTTCAACTCAGCTCACACCTGCCGAGTGGATCCTGACAGAGCGACCCCGTGGACGGGATAGAACTGCCCCTGTGGGTGTCCGTGTTACCCGGCAGCGAGCTGCTTGCTCCCCGGAGTGCCTGCTGCGTTAGAACTCCTGACCTTGCGGGTAATCGTCCAGTGCCTAACACTCTTCACCACCGGACCGCCTCGATGCGGTATTGAGTGGGCAGAAATGAATTTCACTTTAAACTGATCAGCTTCTTGGAAGTGGAATGCGCTGCCTGCCCTCTTGTTTACCATTTCATCACCTAATCAGCCCCAGTGTTCCATCCTATCCGAGCTGGGACTTGTTCTTGTGAAGCAGCGGGTCTCGACCTATGGGTCTCGACCCCTTTGGGGTTCGAATGACCGACTCTTTCACAGGGGTCGCCCGATTCATCACAGTAGCAAAATGACAGATATGAAGTAGCAACGAAAATAATATTATGGTTGGGGGGTCACCACCACATGAGGACCTGTGTTAAAGGGTCCTGGCATTAGGAAGGTTGAGAACCACTGTAAAATCTAAAGGAATTAGGAGGAGAGGTCTCATAAACTAAGGATCCTGTTTCTGGCTCCTGTATTTCTGGGATCAAGTTTTAAAATATTTAGGAGATAAACTCAGTTTCTTAGTGTGTGTTTCTGAAAGTAAGAAAACATTCTGAAATGTCAGTGATAAAACAGATAATGATATTGAGATGGCCCAGAGTCATTGAGAGCCGATACCCAAGTCTGAGACCACGCAAAGGCAATCAACAATAGCCTTGGACAGTCATCCTATGGAGTGATCCCAACACCTGCTAACCCATGCCAACAGGACGATGAGGAAAAGAGAGAGAGAATGGGGCTGGACAGAATAGGCAAAGGCCATCCTTCAGGAGACGATTTCCGTGGGCAGTGATGTCCCTGCGGGAGTAGAAGGCAGTCCTTAGGCCTCCGTGAGTCCTGGTACTGTCAGGATAAGGAAGTGTATCCGAATCATTAGTCGACATTTAAGAAACTACCTTTGTTGAACAAACACGTCATGCGTTCATGTAAAGGCAGGAGTAAGCCCGAGTTTGGGAAGTCACAGTCCCTGTGACAGGCATTTCAGTGAGGGTGATCACCTCTCAAATTAGTCTGACAGTCGTTCCAGTCAGAAGGGCGTTGGGGACAGAAAGTCACGGTGTGTGAACTGGAGTAATGTAGGCGTGCTTACAGGAAGAAGGGAAGCTTTGTCCCGCCAGGCTGAGATTTGGGTATCTGACAAGAGCTTACTGAAGAGAGGAATGGGCATTAGTGATGAGGAAAGGAGGGTGGCACTCAAGGGCCACCTGTCCTGAGTGAGAAGAAGGACTTTTTCCCATGACATTAGGGAATAGAATAGCATCAGTGTAGTGCAGGGGTCTGAGCAGGGCCATTTGGATCCTTGTAATACCCTTTGAGGGCCACATTGGTCAAACAATTAACTGACCCCTAATGTCATGCTGGAGCTGTTTCTTTTTGGTGAGGCGTGTGATGTTAGCTGGAGTTGATGGTTTCCAGGGCCTTACCCATCCCACATGGTGTAGTGGTTATGCATTGGGTTGCTACCGAAAAAGTCAACAGTTCAAAACCACCTGCCACTCCAAGGAAGAAAGATGGGACTTTCTACTCCTGTAAAGAGTTACAATCTCAGAAACCCTCAGGGACAGTTCTACCTTGTCCTATAAGGTTGCTGTAAGTTGGTAACGACTGGGTTTTGTGAATTTGGAGTGTGGTTTATACAGCCTGAGGGCCATGTTTCCCACCTCTGGTGGAGAGGGAAGAGCTTTGGATTTAAGAGCGAAAACTCAGCCCTGACCAACATTTCTTGGCAGGCACTTGGCTTTTCTCCTAACGGCTGCTTCCCCAACCCTAACAAGTTATTTTAAGGACCTGGCAAATGTCTTATTTAAATATTAACGCCTCTGCAATCTGACGCGTGTAAATACTGTCGTTTCTGCATTATCCTGCTGAGCATTTTTGTGAGTGTCGTTCTTCCTGAATGCACAATGCTCAAAATAGCACACACCAATATTCTGCATGGAATTTACGTTTCAAAACAGTTGCCCAAGACAGCACAGTGAAGTTGGGACTAGAAACCAGATTTCATTATTCCTAGATGAATGCCCTTTTCACCTGTCCGCGCAGGTGCGCTTTTTAAAGAACCAGACTTCTACTTGATACTTCATATCTTCCTGACCCCATAGTGGTTCTGGATTTTGTTCCAGGGGTAAAAGAAACCATTCAAGGGTCTAAGCAGGGAGTTACATGATACAGCTTACTTTCTGAAAAGTACTCTGGCAGCTGTGTGAAGCGGCATTAGAAGACAGCGAGAGAGAGCAAGGAGACAGGTTAGAGAGGTTCCCCCAGGCATCCCGAGGAGACCATGCCGACTGTGACTCAGGAGGTAGCAGAGGAGATAGAGAGGTGGGCTTGCTTTGATAGCACTTGCTGAAGGATTAGATACCGGGGCAAGGACAAGGGAGAAAACCCAAACGCACTGCCATCAAGTTGATTCTGATTGATAGGGTGTCCAGTGCTGTAAATCTTAGCTGGAGCAGTTAGCTTCGTCTTTCTCCTTAGGGGCAGCTAGTGGTTGAAAGGGCTGTCCTTGCAGTTGGCCTGTGCCAGGATGGTAATGCTGGTTACTGATGAGAACGTGGGAGAAAGACAGATTTGGGTGAAAATTAAAAGCGTTCTGCTTTGGCCATGTGAAGTTTGAGGTGTCAAGCCAAAGACAAGAGATCAGGACCCCGAATCAAAATGTGGAAGCTATTGGTCTGAGGCTAAAACCCACCAGCTGCGCTGTGGGAGGAAGATGAGGCTGTCCACTCCCGTAAAAATGTACAGCCTCAGAAACCGTAGAAAAGGCTGTTATGGATTGGAACCCACTGAATGGCAGTGGGGTTTGTTTTGGATCATTATACGGCTGGCAGTCTTCTCATATTATTGAATTCCCTCTCTCCCCACCTCCCATGCTATGTATGAATATCCTTTGACATGGTTATATTCGTTCAAAATGGGTGTCCAGTGGTGCTGCTGCCTGTGATTCCATTTTTAAAGACTATAGGAAATGTTGGAGTCGAGAATATCTCCACAAGGATATTTTCGTGTGATGCGTTTGTAGACTTGGAATGTTTTTCTGTTACAAAAGAAATAATGGTGCTTTCTCGAAAACCTAGATAGCACAGAACAGAGCCCAAAGAGCATCCTTGGTCATACTGTGCAGAGGAAACCAGCACCAGCACCGTGGCATTGATTCCGCTGGTCTGTGCTTACACACAGGCTTACTTCTTTCTATCGCACTTGGCGGACACTGGCTGTTTTTCTTTCGGTGCCATTTTTGGAACACCACATTTTGGTGATTCTCACAAGATAGCAGACTGTGTTACAGCGTTGTCGAACGCATACTGGACTACCATGTGGTGCAAACATAATTTTTGTTTGGATTGTGAAACCAAACCCATTGCCTTGGAGTGTGTCTGGAACCGAACCTGCAGTCACTCTGCGGTGTGCCTGTATTCACCTGTGCACGCACTTACTTTTACAGGTAAACCTGTCTTTCTGTGTGCGTTTTGAATTGTAACAGCACTCCTTCAAATGGAAGCACTTCATAGGTCGCCTATACGGGGAACAACAACACCAGGGAGGCATGCACTCCTTAGAATAATCGGTCATTTGAGAGCAAAAGGGCAGCATTTGCCCCAGGACCAAATTAAGAAGGCTGGAAGGGATAGGAAGAAGGAATAGAAACCAGAAAAGTGGAGGAAGTAGCATAAGTGAAGTTACATTGATGAATCAAATGCGTGTGAATTGTTCAGTGGAAAACCAACCTGCTCAGTAAACCTTCACCCAGCTCACCCCTATTATTGTTGCTAGGTGCCATCGAGTTGGTTCCAACTCAATAAATGTGATTTTCTTTTTTTAATGGTAAGACTTAACTCTCACTACACAGTGAAAGGATATATATTGATACAGAGTAGACTTGACTTACATGTGGTTTCTTTGCCTAAGGTAGTTGTAAATGTGGAGCGGCAGCCGTCTTTGACCTCCTTAACTTCACGAGCGGGGAGGAGAATCAGATTGATATATCAACAGTCCAAGACTGCTTCTGATGAAATGGCAGTTGGACATTGCTCCACCATCCAACTATTCACAATTCTAACACCACCACATCTCTCAATCCCATCTCTCTCCTTTGCTGGCTCTGATAATCTGCCACAGTGGCCACACAACAGATTCAACGATTCTGGGCTTTTTTAGGGATGTTAACAAGGTGCAGGAGAAATGCTCAGGAGACAGTTTTTTGGTCAGCACAGCCTCTTCTCAGCCAAGTAGGCACATCTCTCTGGCCTCGTGCCTTGGCTACATGGCCTCTTGGCTGCTGCCTGCTCGGCAATGTGAAACACCTCTTTTAACTCTACCACTAAGTATTCAGAGGCACCCCTACTCCGCCAGTCAGCCGCAGTCTGAAGGCACTGAGCTCCCAGGAGGCGCTCCACTCAGCAAGCCTGAAGGACACTCCACTTTCTTGTTAGGTGGCCTGGGAAGGCTGGCACCGCCCCAGCCTCTTAGCTCTGTCATCTCTGGGGTCACAGTCCTCTGCTCAGGATGGAGGAGTTTCAATGCAGCACAAGGATTTCGGGGTCTGAAGCATGCCCTCCGCTCCTGGTTCATCTTTCTTGGTGTAGTGATTCCCCTTTTCCACTTCGGAGATGACTCATTTTAACCTGGCATGATGGCAAACCTGTCCATCCTCTCATTAGAGCTCCATTCCTGCTATTTGCACGGTCCCACCCAACGTAGGTGCCATGTGTCTCAGTTACCTTATTAGCAGGTTACCAGGTAGCATAGTAGGTTGCAAGATGGGCTGCTAACAGCAAGTCAGCAGTTCAAAACCACCAGCCATTTGGGAGGAGAAAGATGAGGCTTCCTACTCTTATGAAGAGTTATAACCTTGGCCACCCCTAGGGGCAGTTCTACTCTGTCCTGTAGGGCTGTTATGAGTTGGAATCACCTTGATGGCCATAAGTCTTTTGTTTTGGCCCAGTTCCCTTGGGGGGCCACCAACACCTTCCATTTGCATAGTCCTGACCCAGCCATTTGGTAGGAATTACAAAGACTAGCTAGAAGAGCTGTATCAAGTAATTCACTGTCCCATGTGAGTTATGGTTTGATCTTTGGTTTAATAATTAAATGTTCAGAAATATGGTTGACATAATATTGTCCTGTCTGATAATATGTATTTTTTTTAAATCTAGTTTTATGAAAAGCAGAGCCCTGGTGGCAGGGTAGTTACTGTGGCTGTTAACTGCCAGGTCAGCAGGTCTAAACTGTCAACCGCTCCTCAGAAAAAAATGGGGCTTCTAATCCATTAAAGAGTTATAGCCTTTACTGCCTCAGAAACTCACAGGGGCCCTTATACCTTGCCCCTATAGGGTGGTTATGAGTTGGCATTGACTCAATGGCAGTGAGTTTAGGGTTTTTTTTGTTTCTAGTTTATGAAAAAGATGAAAATGTCCCCAAATTATCAGGCATTAGGGCCTTCTTAGGAAAGTAGGTTGTAGATGTGTTTTGGAAATTAACACTATCTTGTTTTTGTTGTTCAAACTATGTACCTACACCTAAGCCATGGTAGAACTGGTACTGTGAATCAAATGATAGGTTCAGTAAAACCTGTTTAAGGTGTGGTTTGCAGCCCTTCTCTGGGCTCCTGACTCTTGGCAGTCAATTCTTCGTCAGGACGCAATGCTGCCTGCTCCTGAGTCGCCCACATGGATGATTTTAGATGTGCCATTGTGATCCGTAGGCTCCCGCCAGCCTTCCTTCAGAGCTTTTCTTGAGTTTAGAAGTCCTGCTGAATTCTGTTCAGCAACATAGCAACCAGCGAGGTCCTTTTTGGAAACTATAAACTTTGGATGATTCTAGAGGGAAAAATTGTAAGATTTAATGATTGGGCATTTTAAGGATTGTATCTTTAATATCTGTGAAAATTCCTTTATTCTTATAAAACTTTCAAATATTTGTATTGCCTGATAATCCGTTGCATGTCATCAAAGCAATTGACTGTTCACTGCGATGACCAGTCTGTCGTAGGCCTTGGTCAAACAATGGCTTTCACCACATCTACCACATGGGTGTTGTCCCAGCAAGGCAAGGGGCAGCAGCCCGTCTTTTGCTGGGTAAACAAGCTAGTGCTCAAAGAAGTTCTGTGGTGTCCTTTTTCTTTGTCAGAATAAGATTGTTTTCTATCACCAGCTGAAGTAGACATTCATTCCTTTAATAAACATTTATTTCACAACAAAATGCATTTTTGTCTGTGCTTATGAGTTGGAATCGACTGAATGGCCGTGGGCTTTTTGCCTCCTCCTAAAATACTGTGCTGGGTTCTGTGTAATGGTTATTCCAACTCATGGTGACCCAGCGTAATGGGAAATAATTGCCCCACAGGGTTTCCAGCAACCTTTTGATGAGCAGCTGAGTGCTGTTGGGCAGAGTGAGACAAGCCCTCAATCTTTATAGTTTAATGGAGGTGAAGGACAAGGAGGCGTAACAATGATAAAGTAAACTGATTAAAAGGATGTTTGGGATTTCATGGGAGCATGAAGAAAGGCTGTTTAGTTCAGATTAGGCATGAGTCTCTCTTTTTGGTGAAAATATACACAGCAAAACATATGCCAATTTAACACTTTCTACACGTACAATTCAGTGACATTATTACATTCTTCAAATGATGCCACTGTTCTCATTATCTTTTCCCATATTATTTTCTTACCATTAACATATATTCATCGTGGGAGATGCATCTTGAAAGATGATTAGCAGTTAACCAGGGAGATGTGAGGAGAGAGATGGCTATTATTTAACACACGTAGATAGAGTGCCCTGGTGGCATGGTGGCTTATGCATTGAGTTGCTGACCACACGCTAGCAGTTCAAAACCAGATCCCCAGCTACTCCACTGGCGAAGGATGTGACTTTCTACCCCTGTAACGGTTTATAGTTTTGGAAACCCATAGGGCAGCGCTGCCCTGTCCTATAGGGTCACTATGAATTGGAATCTACTCAATGTCAGTAAATACGGGGTTTTTTGAGTCAATAGAGCCCTAATGGGGTTGTTTGGTAAGTGTTGGGCTTCTAGTTGTAAAATGAGAGGTTCAAACCCACCAGCTGCTCCTCTGGAGGAAGGTGAGGCTGTCTGCTCTCATAAAGATTTACAGCCTCAGAAACCCTGCGTAGGATCATTATGTATCACAACTGTCACAAGGGCAGTAAGGTGGTATCTACTGTTAATAGTTCACTTCTGAACATGGGGTGGTATGCAGGTGTTGTTCTTTGCTTTATACCATCAGAAGACTTTTGTAATTGTTATTTTTTTTAAATCATGAGAACTTAGCATTTATTTGTTTATGTTGGTAATTATCCTGAAAGGTAGGAATCTCCTATAGAAAATAGGGGCAGTGAACTATTCCTGAGGAATGAAACTAGGAGTGTGAAAGTAAGTTTACATGTTTGCCTTTTAAGGAAAAATTCCTCTTTAAGGAAACTTTTTTACTGCTGTGGAAATTAAGAAGTTATGCACCCCAAGGCGTAACCTCTGTGCCACCAGGGTTTCTTTCTGGCCCAGTGACTGACTGTTAACTTGTAAGCTCATGCTTTTTGGGAAATCCCGTTATCATTTCTGAGCTACTATGGAAACATTTTCTTTTTTTCTAGTTTTAGTTATAGAATATGTTATTTGGATTAATATTTAATAAAGAATGCATATACACAAGCTTAGTTTTTCCAAGAAGAAATTTGATCTAAAAATACGATGTATGCTTTAAGAAGTCATGCCATTTGTCTTGTCTCTTTCAGCTTTTCTAAGAAAAGTCTATAGCATCCTTTCTCTGCAAGTTCTTTTGACAACAATGACATGCTCAGTCTTTCTGTACTTTGAGCCAATCCAGACATTTGTACATAAAAGGTAAGATAATGAGGGGATTTTGAATCGTTTTCAGATGTTGCATAAGTTCAAGAGGACATAAGCAAAGCTCGTGTTTTTCTATTCAGTTTTGAGATTGGAATGTCAAAAAAGTTCATTGTCTAATTCTTGTAAAATTAGTTTCGTTTTTATAAGGAAAATGTCCCACGACCTGATTGTTACGTCTGCATTTTTTTAAACCGCATTATTATTTTAGTTTTAAGCCTTTATCTTCTGAGATAGTACTAAAACTTTTACTACATGAAGTTTATTTTTTTAATCTTAATTAAATATACATATATCCTCTTACTTTACTTATCTATATCCCCAGTCTAATATGGTGATTAAAATTTTATTTTTTAAGTAATTATTTTAACTTTGGCTCATAACTAGGGTAATTTCATGAAGAATTTTTCAAAAAGCTGCATTCATTACTAATTCATTTAAGATCTGACCTCCAAAATAATTATTTCCAGGATTAAAAATAACGTAGGTTTTTTTATATGAAAAGAAAGGGGAAAAAAAGAATAATTGTTTTCATAGAAATAAAAGTGTCTGTCTTCTCATGGCCCCCAAAGAGGGGAATATTTAAGATATTAGATTGTTATGGGTTAAATTCTTTCATTTAGACTACAGCTATAGTAAAAACCCTAAAAAATAAATTAGGTATTACAGTGAACCCTCGCCACTTCGCGCTTCGACTTCCGCGGCTTCACTCTATCGCGGTTTTTGCGTAACAGCACATGCTCTGTCATTA